AATGTGTTGATGGCAGCAGCACAACTGATATGCCTCTCCAGGATGGAGTCACAGCCAAACAGGAACAGACCAGATGAAGCTACTATGAGAAAAAGCAGAGAGAGCAGAACGTTAGAGATTGAACTAACAGATTCTACAGAGTGGGAGAATAGAGATAGAATGAAGCAGAATGATGAAAAAGGGGTCCCTATGTCCTCCAGCAGTCTAAGCCTATAGCAGCATAACTATAGAGATAGCTCAGGATAAACTGAGCCACTCTAACTAGAAGCTTTATCAAAAATGAAAATTTTAAGCCTAGCCCTAAAAGTATATATATTAATAATCAAGCACACTGGTCAAAAGACACCAGCTATTCTTTTTCTGTGCTGTACTCATTTGTCAAAAATGTACCTAGTTTTAATATTTACACTTAATTTTAGAACCATTTCATCAGAAACATCAGCTCACAGACAGAGGTTTCAAAACTATTGTTTATTACTCAATTAGATGAAATCCTACTGTTTAAAAACACTTTTGTATAAGTTAGAGTTTTAAATTAAGCTTTTTACTCAAGTGAAAGTGTAAAAGCACCAGTCTTGAAAAATACTTACTGTATGAAAGTAATAGTAATGCAGGAAAGTTAAGGACAGATGCTTTAAACCTTATACTGATTTCTGCGCAACTTTTTTCTACAACTCTGGATGATAAATTTCTTATAATTATTTTTTTGTAGTTTTATAACAAACGGTAACAGTTTTAAATTTAAACTTGGATCTTGACAAACTATTTATTTTGATATGTGGTGAACAACAAGTTGGGGCATCACCAAGTTCAACCACAAAGAAATTAATCATCTGAATGAAACACATTACTTTGAAGGTGTTGTGGGAAAAAAGTATTCAACTATTCACCAGTTAAACAGAGATTTTAAACTGATTTTATTCAGTTGACTTTTTTTCCATCTTTGCAAAGAGAGAACAAATCATCATACAGCCCTTATTGCATGGTGTTCAGCCCTTAGCACCAGGAACAGAGTCTAAGGTTGGAGATGGATCTTCAAACTGAACTTTTAAAACTCTTTTTGTCAGGGTTGGGTGTTTTTGGCTCTGCTTACTCTCTTCCACAGGTGGTTGTTGCTGACAGGGGGGCTTGGCCCCGCACCTGCGGCTCGTTGAGGCTGCTCTGCTGAGCTTAAGAGGAGCTGAAGGATGCCAGGGTGTTAAACCGTTGTGGTACGCCTAGGCCCCCCGATGTTTTGGATTCCTGATTCTCACCTGTCCCCTGTCTCCCTCAGTTCGTTGAGCTCTGGATTTCTCACCCGCCTGTCTCTGTGTTCTGAGGACTGGCCTCTGAATCCCTGCTGCTCAGATTCTGCTCTAGCGTTCCCCTCGAGCCCCTCGGTACTACCGAGCTGGACAAGAGACCCCTTTCCTGGATTCACACGGGTTCCTTCATCTGCTCCTCAAACCTGCCTCCGCTGCGGTGTTGCTCGGGTCCCCGCCTAAAGGGCGGATTATACTTCTGCAGCTGCACACATCAAATGTCACTTGGGTCTGGTCTCGAACCAGTTCTGCTGGTATGCCGCAACGTCGGTCTGGAATTTCTAGGGACGCACAGCAGTTTCCCACCAGAGCACCAGGGTGAGCCTATTCGGGAACATGGGTGGATGGTCACAAGAACTTCTACGGCGGTGCCGGCGCGAGTGTTTATTTTCTAAAACAACATGTCTAAGACATCGTACAAGTCGTTGTACTTCTGAACCTCCTTGATCAACCTTTCGACGTGGTTATCCACTGTTGTTATTACTCCTCGGTTTTTAAAAATGGCGCGCCTCGGCACCAAATCGAGAACGACGACCACACAGACAGCCGGACAGGCATAGCAAGGACCTGAGCAGGTGAATAAGAAGTGCAAATGGAGTATTTTTACTCTTAAAATAAAAAGATTTTACATATGCAGTGGAAATGTGACACTGCAATTGTTATTTTTCTTAATTCAAATGTATCTTGTTCCATTGGCAAAGTATCTCCCTTTCCTTCTTAATTCAAGAAAAAATGCACTTTAAGAAAAAAATGACTTAGATATTTTTTGAAGTATGTGCATTGCTCCATACAGCAGAATATATTTCTGATTATTTCATTTAATTTTATCTGTTAAATGCCTGGAGATGAGAAATGTTGTAAATTGGTGCTATAAAAATAGAATTTTTTGGACCTTGAGTTTAAAACATTATCTCTACAACAAGTTCAGATGAGTTTAAATGAAATTTATCATGTTTCTTGGAGAAGTGGAAGTGCGTATAGAGCTTTGATCCTTGGTGAATTCTTGACTGTTTCACTCATTCTCAGGAGAAAAATGATCACTTGTTCAAAAAGGAAATAATTCACACTGTTTTTAAAGATGTTATGATGAATTTTATTTGCTTAAAGAAAGGAAAAACAAGGTTGTTTCATATTGAATATTTTTTGTAGGTAAGAATAATCCACCTACGGATCAACGTTGATAACCTGCACCTCCCCCTCTTGTCTAAGTTCTACAGTTTCCCAGTTAAGCACATTTGGTACCTGTTCCCTTCTCCCATTAAACAGATTCTGGATCATTGTATCTGACAGGACAGAGTCCCACATGTTCACATCAGAAATGTCTCCGACAAAACTCTGGTGTGCCTCAAAACCACCCAGAAATGTATCAGGATCTTGGCCCAATATAATCCTTCCTCCTGCGCGGACAGTGTGACCCTTCTGATAGATTTTGGTCAGACTCTTTCTGCCATTTATGAAGATGGCTGCTGCCCCAGACTGGGAATTCCAGGTCAAGCACAGGTGATTCTGCAGGGGGCCAAATTCGGGGACTTGGAAGAACACTGGATCTGTACTCAGGTAGAGGGATAGCCTAAACAGAAATACACATTAACTACTGATCAGAGAAACGTTTTAAACTGCTTGAACATAAACATTTTACCTTCCGTCCTTCTCTCGCCAAAGGTTCAGCTCATCGAAGTATTGGGTTCGATATGCAAACAGGATGATTTCTCTGGCTCCTGTGAGCTCTGTGGCCACGCGCATGCAGAGTGTGAAAGCCCCGAGGGTGAAGGGGGATTTCTGAGGGATCATCTCCACATAGCTGGTACTGCTTTCCTTGGGGATGATCACACTTCTAATGGCCAGACTCCCTTAGGAAAAAAATATTTCAGCATGAAAACAGAACAGTAAGACACAAGCAGAAATGCTTTTGCACCAAATGAAACTTTCAGAGAAGGAGTTACCACTGAATGCAGCCCAGCCAGTGATCAGGAAAACCACAAATGAAAGCCCCATTTTCCCAGACTGATCCTGTAGGAAAGCAACAACAAACATCAAATCCTGACTTTAGAATTTGATGAAAGGCTGTTAATATGCAATGGAGACAGCATACAATTTAACCTGTAGTGTTCTGACCTGAAAACACAAAACCACAGGAAAAAAGTTGTTCTGTTCATCAAGCTAACAACTGGAGGCTTTATATAGTTTCATTATCCTTCCTGTTTTATAACAGCCAGGTCAAACTCCAGAGTCTTGAAACCCAGCTAGGACAATATTGGCTGTTTCAAAACATGTTGATTTAGTGCTTCTGGCCAATGCAACAAGAACGCCATGTACAGTGTTTGATGGAGGACACGAAGCTGCACCTACAATCAGGGGTCGAGTTGTAAAAAAAAAAAAAAGAAGGGGAATTTTTGTAAGCATGACTGGGGCCATGTAGGGACAGTGATAGCCATGCTATCGATGTCCCTACATAGATAGCGTGGCTATCACTGCCCCTACATAGATAGCGTGGCTATCACTGCCCCTACATAGGTAGCATGGCTATCACTGCCCCTACATGCTTAGCATGGCTATCACTGCCCCTACATAGGTAGCATGGCTATCACTGCCCCTACATAGCTTAGCATGGCTATCACTGCCCCTACATA